GAAGGTGCCTTGCTCTCAGAAGGTGCCTTGCTCTCAGAAGGTGCCTTGCTCTCAGAAGGTGCCTTGCTCTCAGAAGGTGCCTTGCTCTCAGAAGGTGCCTTGCTCTCAGAAGGTGCCTTGCTCTCAGAAGGTGCCTTGCTCTCAGAAGGTGCCTTGCTCTCAGAAGGTGCCTTGCTCTCAGAAGGTGCCTTGCTCTCAGAAGGTGCCTTGCTCTCAGAAGGTGCCTTGCTCTCAGAAGGTGCCTTGCTCTCAGAAGGTGCCTTGCTCTCAGAAGGTGCCTTGCTCTCAGAAGGTGCCTTGCTCTCAGAAGGTGCCTTGCTCTCAGAAGGTGCCTTGCTCTCAGAAGGTGCCTTGCTCTCAGAAGGTGCCTTGCTCTCAGAAGGTGCCTTGCTCTCAGAAGGTGCCTTGCTCTCAGAAGGTGCCTTGCTCTCAGAAGGTGCCTTGCTCTCAGAAGGTGCCTTGCTCTCAGAAGGTGCCTTGCTCTCAGAAGGTGCGTTGCTCGAAGAAGGTGCATTGCTCTCAGAAGGTGCCTTGCTCTCAGAAGGTGCCTTGCTCTCAGAAGGTGCCTTGCTCTCAGAAGGTGCCTTGCTCTCAGAAGGTGCCTTGCTCTCAGAAGGTGCCTTGCTCTCAGAAGGTGCCTTGCTCTCAGAAGGTGCCTTGCTCTCAGAAGGTGCCTTGCTCTCAGAAGGTGCCTTGCTCTCAGAAGGTGCCTTGCTCTCAGAAGGTGCCTTGCTCTCAGAAGGTGCCTTGCTCTCAGAAGGTGCCTTGCTCTCAGAAGGTGCCTTGCTCTCAGAAGGTGCCTTGCTCTCAGAAGGTGCCTTGCTCTCAGAAGGTGCCTTGCTCTCAGAAGGTGCCTTGCTCTCAGAAGGTGCCTTGCTCTCAGAAGGTGCCTTGCTCTCAGAAGGTGCCTTGCTCTCAGAAGGTGCCTTGCTCTCAGAAGGTGCCTTGCTCTCAGAAGGTGCCTTGCTCTCAGAAGGTGCCTTGCTCTCAGAAGGTGCCTTGCTCTCAGAAGGTGCCTTGCTCTCAGAAGGTGCCTTGCTCTCAGAAGGTGCCTTGCTCTCAGAAGGTGCCTTGCTCTCAGAAGGTGCCTTGCTCTCAGAAGGTGCCTTGCTCTCAGAAGGTGCCTTGCTCTCAGAAGGTGCCTTGCTCTCAGAAGGTGCCTTGCTCTCAGAAGGTGCCTTGCTCTCAGAAGGTGCCTTGCTCTCAGAAGGTGCCTTGCTCTCAGAAGGTGCCTTGCTCTCAGAAGGTGCCTTGCTCTCAGAAGGTGCCTTGCTCTCAGAAGGTGCCTTGCTCTCAGAAGGTGCCTTGCTCTCAGAAGGTGCCTTGCTCTCAGAAGGTGCCTTGCTCTCAGAAGGTGCCTTGCTCTCAGAAGGTGCCTTGCTCTCAGAAGGTGCCTTGCTCTCAGAAGGTGCCTTGCTCTCAGAAGGTGCCTTGCTCTCAGAAGGTGCCTTGCTCTCAGAAGGTGCCTTGCTCTCAGAAGGTGCCTTGCTCTCAGAAGGTGCCTTGCTCTCAGAAGGTGCCTTGCTCTCAGAAGGTGCCTTGCTCTCAGAAGGTGCCTTGCTCTCAGAAGGTGCCTTGCTCTCAGAAGGTGCCTTGCTCTCAGAAGGTGCCTTGCTCTCAGAAGGTGCCTTGCTCTCAGAAGGTGCCTTGCTCTCAGAAGGTGCCTTGCTCTCAGAAGGTGCCTTGCTCTCAGAAGGTGCCTTGCTCTCAGAAGGTGCCTTGCTCTCAGAAGGTGCCTTGCTCTCAGAAGGTGCCTTGCTCTCAGAAGGTGCCTTGCTCTCAGAAGGTGCCTTGCTCTCAGAAGGTGCCTTGCTCTCAGAAGGTGCCTTGCTCTCAGAAGGTGCCTTGCTCTCAGAAGGTGCCTTGCTCTCAGAAGGTGCCTTGCTCTCAGAAGGTGCCTTGCTCTCAGAAGGTGCCTTGCTCTCAGAAGGTGCCTTGCTCTCAGAAGGTGCCTTGCTCTCAGAAGGTGCCTTGCTCTCAGAAGGTGCCTTGCTCTCAGAAGGTGCCTTGCTCTCAGAAGGTGCCTTGCTCTCAGAAGGTGCCTTGCTCTCAGAAGGTGCCTTGCTCTCAGAAGGTGCCTTGCTCTCAGAAGGTGCCTTGCTCTCAGAAGGTGCCTTGCTCTCAGAAGGTGCCTTGCTCTCAGAAGGTGCCTTGCTCTCAGAAGGTGCCTTGCTCTCAGAAGGTGCCTTGCTCTCAGAAGGTGCCTTGCTCTCAGAAGGTGCCTTGCTCTCAGAAGGTGCCTTGCTCTCAGAAGGTGCCTTGCTCTCAGAAGGTGCCTTGCTCTCAGAAGGTGCCTTGCTCTCAGAAGGTGCCTTGCTCTCAGAAGGTGCCTTGCTCTCAGAAGGTGCCTTGCTCTCAGAAGGTGCCTTGCTCTCAGAAGGTGCGTTGCTCGAAGAAGGTGCGTTGCTCTCAGAAGGTGCCTTGCTCTCAGAAGGTGCCTTGCTCTCAGAAGGTGCCTTGCTCTCAGAAGGTGCCTTGCTCTCAGAAGGTGCCTTGCTCTCAGAAGGTGCCTTGCTCTCAGAAGGTGCCTTGCTCTCAGAAGGTGCCTTGCTCTCAGAAGGTGCCTTGCTCTCAGAAGGTGCCTTGCTCTCAGAAGGTGCCTTGCTCTCAGAAGGTGCCTTGCTCTCAGAAGGTGCCTTGCTCTCAGAAGGTGCCTTGCTCTCAGAAGGTGCCTTGCTCTCAGAAGGTGCCTTGCTCTCAGAAGGTGCCTTGCTCTCAGAAGGTGCCTTGCTCTCAGAAGGTGCCTTGCTCTCAGAAGGTGCCTTGCTCTCAGAAGGTGCCTTGCTCTCAGAAGGTGCCTTGCTCTCAGAAGGTGCCTTGCTCTCAGAAGGTGCCTTGCTCTCAGAAGGTGCCTTGCTCTCAGAAGGTGCCTTGCTCTCAGAAGGTGCCTTGCTCTCAGAAGGTGCCTTGCTCTCAGAAGGTGCCTTGCTCTCAGAAGGTGCCTTGCTCTCAGAAGGTGCCTTGCTCTCAGAAGGTGCCTTGCTCTCAGAAGGTGCCTTGCTCTCAGAAGGTGCCTTGCTCTCAGAAGGTGCCTTGCTCTCAGAAGGTGCCTTGCTCTCAGAAGGTGCCTTGCTCTCAGAAGGTGCCTTGCTCTCAGAAGGTGCCTTGCTCTCAGAAGGTGCCTTGCTCTCAGAAGGTGCCTTGCTCTCAGAAGGTGCCTTGCTCTCAGAAGGTGCCTTGCTCTCAGAAGGTGCCTTGCTCTCAGAAGGTGCCTTGCTCTCAGAAGGTGCCTTGCTCTCAGAAGGTGCCTTGCTCTCAGAAGGTGCCTTGCTCTCAGAAGGTGCCTTGCTCTCAGAAGGTGCCTTGCTCTCAGAAGGTGCCTTGCTCTCAGAAGGTGCCTTGCTCTCAGAAGGTGCCTTGCTCTCAGAAGGTGCCTTGCTCTCAGAAGGTGCCTTGCTCTCAGAAGGTGCCTTGCTCTCAGAAGGTGCCTTGCTCTCAGAAGGTGCGTTGCTCGAAGAAGGTGCGTTGCTCTCAGAAGGTGCCTTGCTCTCAGAAGGTGCCTTGCTCTCAGAAGGTGCCTTGCTCTCAGAAGGTGCCTTGCTCTCAGAAGGTGCCTTGCTCTCAGAAGGTGCCTTGCTCTCAGAAGGTGCCTTGCTCTCAGAAGGTGCCTTGCTCTCAGAAGGTGCCTTGCTCTCAGAAGGTGCGTATTTCTCAGAAGGTGCCTTGCTCTCAGAAGGTGCCTTGCTCTCAGAAGGTGCCTTGCTCTCAGAAGGTGCCTTGCTCTCAGAAGGTGCCTTGCTCTCAGAAGGTGCCTTGCTCTCAGAAGGTGCCTTGCTCTCAGAAGGTGCCTTGCTCTCAGAAGGTGCCTTGCTCTCAGAAGGTGCCTTGCTCTCAGAAGGTGCCTTGCTCTCAGAAGGTGCCTTGCTCTCAGAAGGTGCCTTGCTCTCAGAAGGTGCCTTGCTCTCAGAAGGTGCCTTGCTCTCAGAAGGTGCCTTGCTCTCAGAAGGTGCCTTGCTCTCAGAAGGTGCCTTGCTCTCAGAAGGTGCCTTGCTCTCAGAAGGTGCCTTGCTCTCAGAAGGTGCCTTGCTCTCAGAAGGTGCCTTGCTCTCAGAAGGTGCCTTGCTCTCAGAAGGTGCCTTGCTCTCAGAAGGTGCCTTGCTCTCAGAAGGTGCCTTGCTCTCAGAAGGTGCCTTGCTCTCAGAAGGTGCCTTGCTCTCAGAAGGTGCCTTGCTCTCAGAAGGTGCCTTGCTCTCAGAAGGTGCCTTGCTCTCAGAAGGTGCCTTGCTCTCAGAAGGTGCCTTGCTCTCAGAAGGTGCCTTGCTCTCAGAAGGTGCCTTGCTCTCAGAAGGTGCCTTGCTCTCAGAAGGTGCCTTGCTCTCAGAAGGTGCCTTGCTCTCAGAAGGTGCCTTGCTCTCAGAAGGTGCCTTGCTCTCAGAAGGTGCCTTGCTCTCAGAAGGTGCCTTGCTCTCAGAAGGTGCCTTGCTCTCAGAAGGTGCCTTGCTCTCAGAAGGTGCCTTGCTCTCAGAAGGTGCCTTGCTCTCAGAAGGTGCCTTGCTCTCAGAAGGTGCCTTGCTCTCAGAAGGTGCCTTGCTCTCAGAAGGTGCCTTGCTCTCAGAAGGTGCCTTGCTCTCAGAAGGTGCCTTGCTCTCAGAAGGTGCCTTGCTCTCAGAAGGTGCCTTGCTCTCAGAAGGTGCCTTGCTCTCAGAAGGTGCGTAGCTCTCAGAAGGTGCGTTGCTCTCAGAAGGTGCGTTGCTCTCAGAAGGTGCGTTGCTCTCAGAAGGTGCGTTGCTCTCAGAAGGTGCCTTGCTCTCAGAAGGTGCCTTGCTCTCAGAAGGTGCCTTGCTCTCAGAAGGTGCCTTGCTCTCAGAAGGTGCCTTGCTCTCAGAAGGTGCCTTGCTCTCAGAAGGTGCCTTGCTCTCAGAAGGTGCCTTGCTCTCAGAAGGTGCCTTGCTCTCAGAAGGTGCCTTGCTCTCAGAAGGTGCCTTGCTCTCAGAAGGTGCCTTGCTCTCAGAAGGTGCCTTGCTCTCAGAAGGTGCCTTGCTCTCAGAAGCATCACACACCAAACGAACTGGGAGCGATGGGCGCGCATTGCCCGCATGCTTGGCAGCATGCTCGGGCAGATGAAATATATTCTGCTGCCCGGCGTGCTGAGGTGGCGTGTGATGAGGAAATGCGTCCATATGATCAGCACCCCCAGCAGCCCCAGGAACTTCACATGCAGCCATGCACTGTTCTGCAGGGGGAGAGACGGCATGCATGGGTGGGGGCATGGATGAGGGACGGATGACCTATTGAGGAAGCACGGATGAAAGAATAGGAGTGGAAGTAAAAGGAAGTGAAAGGAAGGGGCGAGGAAGTGGAAGCATGGAAGGGAAATGAAAGGAAGTGGAGTGAGAGAAAGGGGAGTGAGAGGAAGGGGCGTGTGGCAGAGATACTGCATTTACTCACCAGCTGCCCCACTCACCAGCTGCCCCACTCACCAGCTGCCCCACTCACCAGCTGCCCCACTCACCAGCTGCCCCACTCACCAGCTGCCCCACTCACCAGCTGCCACACTCACCAGCTGCCACACTCACCAGCTGCCACACGGGGACTTGCAGTGACCCGTTGTCAACCATGGTGCTGGAGAGGGATGATGAGAAGGGCGTTGGGGCGAGGGGGGCAGGGAGGGGGGAGGATGAGCAGAGCGTGCTGCGTGACGCAAGCAGCTTGAGACAGCTGCGAGGGGGGCAGCTGGCATGAAGGCGGATCCTGGGTGATGAAGCATGTGTGGAGATCACAGGAGTTGATGAAGCATGTGTGGAGATCACAGGAGTTGATGAAGCATGTGTGGAGATCACAGGAGTTGATGAAGGCAACTCGGAACCACTCCAAAGCACCTCCAACTTCTTCCTTACACTCCCCCTGCACTTCCGTCCCACGGCCCGCACCATCCCCCATTTTTGTGTCACATGTGTCCCCACGAACGGTGATGCGTGGGCGGGTCCAGCCACTCACTTGAAGAGGAGGATGGAGGATGGGCCATCCAATCCAAACGCTGGCGGGCGAGAGGCACAGCAGTCAGCAGGGGCCAGCCTGATTGCCGCAGCGTGCTCTCATGGATGGGCTGTCTGGGCAAGGCTGCACAAACCTACCATCCTATTCTGAAATCGTCTGATACCCGAGAAAATGGCGCACCTGAGAGCATGGCGCACCTGAGAGCATGGCGCACCTGAGAGCATGGCGCACCTGAGAGCATGGCGCACCTGAGAGCATGGCGCACCTGAGAGCATTGCTCACCTGAGAGCATTGCTGATGGCGCGGTGGTTGGGATGACCCGACACACCCCAGGAGTCAAATGTGAGGAGCTGTGCGGCAGCCAAGTAGGGAAGTGGGAGGGGCAGAGAGCAACGGAGGGGAGAGCAGGGATGAGAGGGCAAGAAAGCTCTCCAGGCGGGCAAGAAAGCTCTCCAGGCGGGCAAGAAAGCTCTCCAGGCGGGCAAGGAGGGCATGTGGGGGCAAAGGGGCGCAAGAGCAGAGCGAGATGTAAGAGCAGGGCAGCTGGGGGGAGTGACGGACGCAAGTGAAGTTGGTGGGGAGATGTTGCTCAAAGTGAGACAGGAATTCCATGGACAAGTCAAAACACGCCCTTGCAATGACTGCCATGCGCACCCCTCCTCCCATGCTTGCTCACCTTGTTGGCTACTGAATGGGTGGATGGAACAGTCAAGGCTCAATTGCCATGCCTGCTTCATGCCACCACCTCCGCGAAACCACCTTACCGACTCACGAAGCCTGAAAGCAAAGAACCTTAAGGCGCCACCATGGAGCAACGCACTTCATTCGTGAGCGCTTCACTGGTGTGGGCCGGTGATTTCGAGACTGAAGGGCGCGTTTCCACAGGCCAGCCTTATGGAATTCATGCATCACCACAGTGAATCGCATTAATCCTTGCAATTCAGCATTTGCACCATCTTTAAGCATTCCAGATTCAAGTAACTAGAGGCGAGCTGGAGAAAATGCACTGTACCGGCCCCCAACAAAGCATCCTCACAGCCCGTCCCTCACATCCCATAACCAATTCCCTCACCCCATCCCCTCTACCCCATCTCTTGAAACTGTTCATTGCTCCCACCGTTTGTATTTGGTGCCTTTTCACAAAGTCAATGACCAAGCCGGCAATAACATCCGACGGCCACGATTGATCCATGCCATCCTGCAGATCAACGGTGAAGAGAGAGAGGGGGGGAGGGAGGGTGCATAAGTATTCTGGGCCGATGGCTAGTCCTGGAGGACGTCCACTCCGCACCGCACTCCCACGTGCCCACCTCGCTTCCTTCCGCCCCACTCCCCTCATCTCCTCACCCACGTCAGTTAACCCCTCACTGCCCTCACTCACCCCTCACTGCCCTCACTCACCCCTCACCGCCCTCACTCACCCCTCACCGCCCTCACTTGCCCCCCACTCGGCCCCCACTCGCCTCACGCCCCTCACTTACCCCTCACCGCACCTCACCGCACCTCACCGCCCCTCACTCGCCCCTCACTCGCCCCTCACTCGTCCCTCATTGCACCCCACCGCCCCTCACCGCACCTGCAGCTGCGGGTGGTCCACCACCTCCACGCAGTGCTGGGCAATCTGATGCGCCGCAGAGAGAAGTGAGAAGGGGGAAGAGAGGGATGGGGGGGATTGAGGTGACAAGGGTGAGGTGAGAGGCGTCACGTCACGGTAAGGGGGGAGGCACAGGAGCACCAGTGAGGACAGAGAGGCAAAGTTGTAGGAAGATGGGGATGGGACGGGGCGGATGGAATGGAAAGGAAGGCATGGAATGGGATGAAATGGGTTTGGGTGGAGAGTGACGGAGCTTCTCTCCTCCACCCCAAGCCTCTCTCCACCCCGAGCCTCTATCTACCCCAAGCCCCTATCTACCCCAAGCCCCTATCTACCCCGAGCCTGTCTCTTCCCCGAACTTCTCTCCCACCCCGTCCCTACCCCAAGGGTCGCTGCTGCTGCTCTGAGCTCCGCCCTCCGTGTGCTGCCCAGCCCCTCCGCGTTGCCTGCCAGGGCCAGTTGGTGCGGCGCGGAGGCAGAGAGAGGGGGGAAGAGTGCTGAGGGGCGGGAAGCAAAGGGGATGCGATGCCTCGTTGCAACGAAGGGATGGGGGGAAAACGCAACCAGTTTGGGCGTCTGATATACCTCTGCAGTGCCCAGTAGGGCTGAAGGCGAAGGGGATGCGCGAGAGAATAGGGGGTGGCGCGACACAGAGAGAAAGTCAACGGCAGAGAGAAAGTCAACGGCAGAGAGAAAGTCAACGGCAGAGAGAAAGTCAACGGCAGAGAGGAGAGTCAACGGCAGAGAGGAGAGTCAACGGCAGAGAGGAGAGTCAACGGCAGAGAGGAGAGTCAACGGCAGAGAGGAGAGTCAACGGCAGAGAGGAGAGTCAACGGCAGAGAGGAGAGTCAACGGCAGAGAGGAGAGTCAACGGCAGAGAGGAGAGTCAACGGCAGAGAGGAGAGTCAACGGCAGAGAGGAGAGTCAACGGCAGAGAGGAGAGTCAACGGCAGAGAGGAGAGTCAACGGCAGAGAGGAGAGTCAACGGCAGAGAGGAGAGTCAACGGCAGAGAGGAGAGTCAACGGCAGAGAGGAGAGTCAACGGCAGAGAGGAGAGTCAACGGAAGAGAGGAGAGTCAACGGCAGAGAGGAGAGTCAATGGCAGAGAGGAGAGTCAACGGCAGAGAGGAGAGTCAACGGCAGAGAGGAGAGTCAACGGCAGAGAGGAGAGTCAACGGCAGAGAGGAGAGTCAATGGCAGAGAGAAGTCAACGGCAGAGAGGAGAGGCACGGTGGACCGTGAGGCACCTGAGGAGAGGCAGAGGATGTGCAGCGTGCATCGGGCGCCGTGTTGCGTGCAGTCAGCTTGCGGCAGCGCAGCAGACGAGATGAAGTGCCCCACGGCTGATGGCGGCGAGACCAGCGCGCGCAGCGTGGGCACGAAGAACCTGCGCGCTCGGGGGGGGGGGGGGGGGGGGGGGGGGGGGTGGGGGGGGGGGG